TGACGCTGAAGTGAGTAAAAAAAAAAAAGACTTTAAAAATTAACAGGACGTGAAAAACATCAGTCATACAAGATAAAAATTATAAATGGAATGTAATTAAAATAACTTAGTTATCAGAATATGACATTAAGAGAGTGAAAAGGCAAATCACAGAGTGAGAGTGTGCCTAATTTCATTTGTCTGGAACAGTTCGTCCATCTTTCCTTGACATTCGTGACCTCGACTCTTCTGATTACAGGCCAGATCTGTTCTCATGATCCCTCAGTTTGGGTCTGTCTGGTGTTTGGCTGTGCATTTTTGGCAGGATATTAGTCAGCTCAGGCTGCCACACCTAATATGACATGGTGTCTGAAACAAAAAAAATTATTCTGTCGCAGTTCTGGAGGCTGGAAGTACAAGATCAAGGTGCTGGCAGATTTGGGTCCTAGTGAGGGCTCTCTTCCTGGCTTGCAAACGGCCGCCTTCTCACTGTGTCTTCACAGGCTGGGGGAGAGAGAGAACAAGCCCTCTGGTGTCTCTTCTCGTAAGGATACTAACCCCATCATGGGAGCCCCATCCTCACGACCTCATATAACCCTGATCAGCTCCCAAAGGCCCTGCCATCAATACTGTCACAGTGGAGATGACACAAACATTCAGTCCTTAACCGGCAGAAATATCACAGAAACGACTCTCTTCTTCTCAGTGCATCCCATCAGGTGGTGAATAGTTTCGATTTATCTGGTTATTGATGACGTTCACTTTGATCATTTGATCAAGGTGATGCTTGCTGGGCTTCCCCGCCTGTAAAGTTACCTCTGACGGCATAAAGTCATAAAGTTTCTTTGTGATTGCGATGACTCTTCAGGAAGTTTCTTTGGAACTAAAGATCCCTGTGGTTGTTCAACTTCCAGTTTATTGATTTATTAACATCAGTATATTAAACTCAGATTCCTATTTTATTTAATGAACTGGAATCTTGACTAACATTATTGGTTTTGATGCTCAAGTTGTCTCTGGCGTGGCCGGTAGGAAGCGACTCCTGTGTATTTTCTGCAAGTTGTCGCCCTGGCTCATCCTGCCCCTGACCTGTCTCAGTCTGGAAACAGCTGCTTCCCCAGGGAGCCCCGGGTCCTGTCGTGGTGAGTGGTATTTAGGGCCCAGGGTCTGCCACTGGAGGAGGGGGTGGGGTTACTGCTTGCAGAGTCTCTTAGAGGAAGGAGCTGGAGAATAAATGGATTCCTCCAACTCCAATCCAACACCGCAGGCTGCATTCTAGTTTCATGCCTTTCAATATTTGTCACTCTCTGCCCACAGTGAGAAAGAGGACTCTCATTAGCTTTAATATCTTTACTTCTTTTACCGACTCCCTGGGTGTAACCACTTCCCTCCCATTGCCACTGCCCATCTCCCTGCAGATGCCCTTCTCATCATGCTTGGCTCTGGCCCCCTCCTTGCAGCCCCTCCTCTCCATGCCCAGCCTCCTGCCCTCCTCCTCAAGTACCTTCTCCACAGGGACGCCCTCACATTCTCCTCTCTGTGCAGCTTCGTTCACAATAAAAATTACGAATCACCACTGCTCACTTCCCTTCCCAGAGCCGGTTTTCTTCCAGAGATATTCTATTCTATGCATTGGAATTATTTATGAATAAATATAAGGATAGTTCCTCTCACAGATATTACTTGAACCCAAAGATGTGCATATTTATTTATTTTATTTTCATATGCATATGAAAATATGTCAGTAGACATTTGAGTTATTTCCCATTGGTGGCATTTATGCATAATACTGCAATATATAAAGGACATAAATATTATACAGAAAACTACATCAAGCATAAATGTACAACTTAGTGACTTTTATAAAGCAAATACTCACGCAACCACCACCAGCATCAGCAAACGGAACCTTCCCAGCAACCCAGAAGTTGCCCCACCTGTGCCCAGATTTGTCAAATGCATCGTTTTTCATGATGATCACTCTATTTGTGTCTTGCAGAGAAAATCAGTAACCAAATGGAAGATGTTGGTAATTGTGACTATATTAAAATTGGAAACTTCTGTTTATAAAAAGATGTCATCAAGAGAGTTAGGAGGAAAGCCTCCAAGCGGAAGAAATTATCTGTACTGCGTAGAACCGTCAGAGGACGTGGACACGCTGTCCTGAGAGAACCCCTAGAATCACGGAGAAACTGACAGCCTGGTAGGAAAGAAATGGTCAAGACACTGAAACAGGCATTTCACAAAGAGGAAAACCAAATGGCCAGTCAGTGCACAGAAAAGACGTTTGACTTCCTCACTCCTCTGGGAAGCACAAACCAAAACCACCGCGAGATACTACCACGTGTTCCCTTGAGTGGATAAAATTAAAAAAAAAAAAAAAAAAAAAAAAGACTGACAGCAGGTGCACTGGGGAGGAAATGAAACGGTGGGAACACACACTGCTGGGGGAGGCGCAGCCACCTTGGAGGGCGGGCGTTGCCTGCTGAGGTGCAGGATCGGCAAACCTCATAATTCGGCCATCCCACCACGAAGGATCTGCCCAAGAGACACGGGGGCCGGGGGCCCCAGGCAGCGTGCACAGGGATGCTGGTAGCAGTGTTGTCCCTAAATGCCAAGATGGAAACTGCCCAAGCGTTTGTCGGTAGTAAAATGGATATGTACGCTGTGGTACATGATGCAGTGGATGTCAGGCTGCAACGAAAATTCATAAGCACCCCAGTGAATCCCAGGGGCGTGACACCGTGCAAAACAACAAGCACAAAACAGTGCATGGCCTGGTTCCATTCATAAAAAGCTCCAAAATTCGGGAGCCTGTTTAACAGGTGACGGCGCTGAGGGATGCACTCGTAGGTCGTCAAAATGTACACAGGAACTTGGGATTGATTGCTGGGTGTGGATCAGTCAGGGTGGGGGTCCCAGCTGGGAAAGAAGGGGGGCGGGTCAGAAGGAGCCCCTGGGGGCTTCTAGGGGTCTGGACAAAGTGCTCCTTCTTGATATTTTATGGCTAAATTGATGGGTGATTGTTTTGTGAAGATTCATCAAGCTGTACATTTTAAAAAAATGTTACTTTTAATTGACTTTGGGCACTATTCTGTGCATTATATTTCACATTTAAGAAGTTTTTGTTTAAAGAAATCCTTTCTTTCCTATAGGTTACGGACAGCTCACTATTTTTGGCTAAAAGTCATCGTTACTACTTTGAAAATATTCGATTTTCTCTGGCTGCTTCGAAGGCATTTTCCTCTGTGTCTCTGGTGCTGCACAGTTTGGTTGTGATGTCCTCAGTCAGGGATTTAGTGTTCTATTGTGTGGGCTTCCCTGATCTCGAACTAGGGGGTTGATGGAGCTTATCAACTGTGGGCCATTTTCAGATGCTGTTTCCAGTGACTACATCTGCCTCTCCCACCATCACAGCCTCTCTGGCCAGTCTCCCAGGAGCACATCTCCCGTCCTGGCTGCCAGCCGCCCCTGACCACCCCTGCAAAGCCTCCAGCTCAGCAGGTGGATGTGAAGGGGGGATGGGGAGGAGATTCCTGCCCCTTTTCTGTCTCAGAACAGTTCCCCTCTCCGCCCAGTCCCTGTCAAGGGCAGTTCCTCTCATTCTGAGGTCCAGTGCAATGGAGCTCGCCTCAGTGGGCCCTGTGGTTTGGTGGAGTCAGAGACTTCCCCAGCCCCTTGTGCCCCTATCCATCTGAGCTGTCAGCTGCACGCTATGGGAGCAGGAGGACCCCAGGGAGCATATATTCCTGGTCTCTAAAGCCCCCGTGGGACTGCTGAGCACATGCAATTAGGAAAGAATGTTATGCAGATCTCCCATGTCTGGAGAACAGGCATCAAGCTCTGCCGCCTGCTGGAGTGGGCAGTGGCTTGGCAAGGGCAGGGGAGCCTAGAGAGCTCTGGGCCACTGTGGTCACAGGAAGGGAGGCTTGGGGATGACCCTATAGCACATCCTCCCCAATGCACACACATTCTACACATGCACACAGCCACACACAGCACACATACACAATACACACATGCACACATACGTGCACACATGTACACACAACACACACAGGCACATAGTCACGCATGCACATATTCACAATCCACACATGCACACAGTCACACACACATGCACACAGTCACACACAGCACATATACACACATACACAGCCACACACATGTGTACACAACACACACACATACATAGTCACACACATGCACACAGTCACAAACATGCACACACAATACATCCACACACATGCATACACATGTACACACAACACATACACATGCATGCACAGTCACACACAATCACACAAAGCACATTTACACACAGGCACACAGGCACATATGCACATACTTGTACACACAACACACACATGCACACAGTCACACACACATGCACACATAGCATGTACATCACATGCAGTCACACACATGCAAACACATGTATAGTCACATGCATGCAAACACATATACACATAATATATGCATGCAATTAGTCACACACACATGCAGTCACACACAGCACATGCACACACACTACACACACACATGAACACATGTGCACACAGTCTCACATAAGCACAGTCACACGGACATGCAACACACATGCACAGTCACACACACACACACACACACAGATGCACAGTGAGGCTCAGCCTTTACACTCCCCTCAGTCCTGATCCTTTATTTATTTATTTATTTATTTATTTATTTATTGAGACGGGGTCTCGCTCTGTCACCCAGGCTGGAGTGCAGTGGTGCAATCAGGGCTCACTGCAGCCTTGAGTTCCTGGGCACAAGCGATCCTCCTGCATCAGCCTCCCAAAGCACTGGGAATATAAGCATGAGTCACTGCGCCCAGCCCCAATCCTTTTAAACTGGGTTGTTGGGCTGGGGTCCCAAGGGCAGTGACCAGGGCAGCATGGGGAGAGGGGAGGGCAGGGAAAGTCACCTGACTCCCAAAAGATACAGAAATATATGGAGGCACATAGGGAGAAGGACAGAGAGAGAGAGCGAGAGGGGGATTCTTTCTTTCATTCATACAATGTTTATTGAACGTCCAATGTTTGCCAGGCACTGTGCAAAATCACATAAAAATGAGGCGGGAGGAGTGCAGTGGACAGGGCGTGCCAGCAGGTCAGGCATGAGTACAGACAGGCAGAGACACAGACTTCAAAGCCGGACCCCAGTGCTGGAGCTGACGCCTGCTTGCTTGCCTGCTGAGGGCGAGAATGCACCTGCTATGGGGGCCTGACCTCACTGTGGACACCCATCGTGGGAGCACCAGTCTTCCCCCGGTCCCCAGGGTGTGGAAGCCAGGGGCCTTTGTAGCCCCACATTGCCCGGAGTTGGATACAAACATCCCAAGAGCTAGGGGTGCCTCTACTGGCTGGAAGGTAACTGTTCCATTTCCCCAGCATGAACTCAGAAAGCTTCAGCCAGGCACAGGCACGTCCCAGGGAAAAGCTGGCTGAGGGCTTCCCTAATGCAGGTGTGTTTCCTCCTGGCCCCTGTCCCAGGCAGCCACCAGCACTGGCATCGAAGGCTTAAGGAAAATAGGGAAAGAAAGCATTTGCCCCTCTACTTTCTTCCCTCCCAGGCATAACTTGGACGACACCTGGACACTGGGGTTGGCCTTAGCTGACCTCATGACCCAGGACCCAGGTCTCCCCCAGGTGCCCCAGGAATTAGAAGCTAGGACCCTCTCTCTTCCAAGGCCCAGCAGCCTCTGCCATCATTTTCCAGCCCAGGCTCATTCAGGAAAGCCTCTGGGTCTAATGGTGAAAGCATCCAAAGTGCCCACAACCGGGTTGCCCACATGCTCGGTGAGGCGTTCAGCCGCCCCTGGCACCTCTCCCACCATCCTCCAAGAGGCACGATGACAGCTCCATGCAGCCCTGTATCAGCCTCGCAGCCGCCGCCTCCTGCCCGCCCATCCCACCACTGCCTAGGGTGAAGGGTCAGTGCTCAAGAGTCCCACATGGTCCCCACCCTGTCCCCTCTCTCGACTCGGACCCCCAAGCCCTCCCGTTTTGAGGTCACACACTCCCCTCCCCTCCCCTCTTCCCTGAGCAACCCCTCCACCTCCGCCTGGGCTGCAACCCAGGCCCATGGGCAGGTGTTAGCCATCCTGCCTTCCTTTGCAGGTTTCTGGGTCAAGACTGTGACCTGCCTCTTGCTCACTGCACTCCTGCCATGGTATGCCCTGTCTCCTGCGTCTGTCCCATCTGCTGCTAACTCAAGGTCCTCCCTTCCGAGGCATCCCACGTCTCCAGCCCAGAAGGCTCTTCCCTTCTCTGCTTGGTGTCTCAAAGTCAACATCTTCTTCTCCCTGGTTTCCTGCTGTTGGTACACAGCCCTCTCTACCCACTGGGCTGTTCAAGTCAAGGGGCAGGAATCCTCCAGGCTTCTCCCCCAGCTTACCTCCCAAACCAGTCAACCCCACCACCTGCACAGCTGCCAGGCGCCCTGCTGTCCAACCCTCTGCTGCTGGCCCCAGCCCAGGCTCAGCTCCTCCACTTGCATCCACCTCTGTCCATTGGGATCCCCTCCAAGCTGGCCTCGCTACCCCGGAGAGCATGATCTTCCCAAAACACGAAGCGCACGGCCATGCCCCTTCCCTGGGAAAGTTTGCCTGCCTTCCCATGGGATGATAAGTCCTTCCCACTGCACACCTGAGCTGTGGGATTTCCTGCAGTTTCCCAGACCAGCGGGGCCCCCACAGCGTGAGGCTCTGCACCCATGGCCAGTGCCTCATCTTCTTCATCTTCACCTCCCCGCCTCCTTCGTGTGCCTTGACACCCTTCACTTTTCCTAGTGCACCCTCATCAGACTTGTCTTCAGGGCTGACCGGCACCCCCATGACTCTGCCTGAGTTCCAAGGGGACAGAGCCCATCCCTGCATCCTGCCTTCCACATTGCAGACTGCACGTGCCATGGACCGGGATGGCACGGGTCTTGGCCTTTGAACAGCATCTTCAGTTGATTTTCACAGTGATTGTAGAAGTGAAAGGTCATTTTCCTATGTTACAGTTAAGGAGATGGGCACGAGAGAGGTAAAGGGGCCTGCCCGGGTCCCAGAGCCCTCCAGGAGGGACAGGGGTTAGCCAGGGGTCTATCGTCTCTGCCTGCTGCTTCCTTCTGAGTGAATGTGTGGTTTCCTTTGCTCTGATTTGGCCAACGCAGGCAGCTGAGGCTGTGCTCTACCACTTCCTTCCCCCCAGGAGGCTGCCTGACCCTCTAAGCGACTCGAGTTTGGGGTACCTCCACCAAATGCCCACCCCCCCATTCACCATCTGGCACAGCTGTAATGGAGCAGACTGTCTCCTGCAGTCCGCTGTGACACAGTGCCAGGGGCCCTGACCTCCAGGCAGTTCCTGAAGGAGGCTTGCAAAGCTTCCAGACTTTTCCAGGCCCTGCCAGGGACACAAAGTAGAAGGCTGGGCTGGAGCTGCATGGGTATTTCATTGAAAGTTCACAGACACGAGGGCTCTGAGCAGGGTCACAGCGTGGAGGAGGCAGGGACAGGGAGCATAGAGTGAGTCGTCCCATCCTGGGACACTTTTGCCTAAGCCCTTCCTGCTAGGTGTCAGGTCCAAGGAGCCCCAGGAGCCTGGGAAGGGGCACGTGAGGGCAGGGACACAGACACTGGAAGCCAGGGTGCAGCAGCGAGGGGAGAAGCCCCCAGGCCCCAGACACAGGCAGGGCGGAGGCCAGGAGGCGGAGGGGGTGGGCTGAGGGCCAAGCTCACTGCCCCCTTGCTGTACTCAGCTTCTGATGGCCTTGCTGCCCGGTTCACAGCTCAAGGGAGCCCCAGGACAAGAAGCTCTGCCCTGCCCCAACCTCATGGGATCCTGCGTTTCAGGGACCATGAGAATAAACATGTCTCAGGGCTTGTCTCCGCCAGCAGACGTGCCTGGCAGGCCTTAGTAGTCGGTGAGGGGGTACCGCAGGAAGATGAAGACGAGGATGATGCAGGAGGCTGCCAGGGCAGAGCTGGTGATGTTGAACAGCCGGGCCGTCTTTGCATCCTCCACGGCTCCATTCAGGTCATTGAGAAGCTTCTTGTCTCGCACCTGAAGCCGGGAGGAGGAGAGGAAACAGGCAGTCAGCCAGGGAGCAGGGCCCCGGAGCAGCCAGGAGCCCAGCAGGGCCAGTGCCACAGCACTCAGCACAGTATCAGTGTCTTGTTTCCGAGAGCTGACAAATGAACTATGGTTCTGGAGGAGGCTGTCTCTGCCCTGGGGTACCAGACACTGATGAACTTAGGGGCACACGGGCATCATGTCTGAAACCTCTCAACCCTCTACTGGTTTATAAAGTAGGTAAGATGTATTTATATATATAGAGAAAAGCAAATATGGTAAAATGTTAACATTTGGGACATCTGGGTGAAGGACGTAAAGAAATTCTTTTCCCTTTTTGCAAGTTTTAAATGATCAAAATAAAAGAAGTTGGCCTCAGAGAGAATATGATTGGAGGATGGGGTGACACAACTCTCTCCTAATTTGATTGGTTCTGCTTAGTTTAAAATTAACTGGGATGCCCTGAGGACGAGCCTTGTGCATTGACAGGAGAGACAGCAATCTCCAGGGCCCTTGGGGAGGGATATTAAGGTGAAGGAAGTGGGCTGGCACTCAGGAAGTCCTGGGGAGGCAGTGGACTGAGCTGGACTCATTTCCAAGAAGCGGCCTTCATTCAGAATGAGTTATAGGGCCCTCCGTCCTCAGCACTCTTTCTTTCTATCACATCCACAGACATGTGCGTGAGTTTGCTGTAAGAAGAAACCAGGATGAGGAAGAGAAAGAGAATGGAAAGAGAGGAAGAGAGGAAAAGGCAAAAAGTCTTTGCCTTAGTAGATTGGGGCTGGGCTGAAAGAAGGAAGGTGGGTAGATAGATACTGGGACTGACTAATGCCTGGATCCCTCAGTGCACAGATTAGGCAGATGAACAGGAGACCCAGGTCAGAAGAGTGGACGGACAGAGGAGAGATGGGTGGTCAGGGCAATGGGTGCGTAACTGAGTGGAAGAATGGAAGCATGAATGGTTTGGCCTGTGGGTGGATGGATGGAAGAGGCAGAATAGTGGAAGGAACAAAGGGAGAGGAGAGAAAAAAGAGGATAGAGGGAGTGGGGAAGGGAAAGAGAGAACGCAATTCAGTGGAGTGGAATGGAGTGAAGTGGAGTAAATGCAGTGAAGTGCAATAGAGTGGAGTGGATGGAGTGGAGTGATGGAGTGAATGCAGTGAAGTGGATGGAGTGGATGGATAGAGTGGAGTGAGGTGGAGTGAAGTGGAGTGGATGGATGGAGTGGATGGAGTGGAGAAGATGAAGTGGAGTGGATGGAGTGAATGGAGTGGAGTGGATGGAGTGAATGGAGTGGAGTGGATGGAGTGAATGGAGTGGAGTGGATGGAGTGAATGGAGTGGAGTGGATGAAATGGATGGAGTGGAATGGAATGGATGGAGTGGAGAGGATGGAATGGATGGAGTGGAGAGGATGGAATGGATGGAGTGGAATGCATGGAATGGATGGAGTGGAGAGGATGGAATGGATGGAATGGATGGAGTGGAATGCATGGAATGGATGGAGTGGATGGAGTGGAGTGAATGGAATGGATGGACTGGAGTTAATGGAATGGATGGAGTGGATGGAGAGGAGTGGGTTGAAAGATGGAGTGGAGTCAATGGAGTGGAGCTGGAATAAAAGTTGGAGAGAGAAGGGAAGGGAGGGAACAAGGTCAAATGAGCAAGTAGATGACTTGGAAGATAAATTGTACAGAACGTGCTATCAAAATGGAGAGATCAACGATGTGAAGAAGCAGGTATTGAGGAATCAGGGTAGGGAAGGAGGCAGGAAGAAAGTCTATGCTCTCATCGGGTTCTCATGCTAGTGGTTTTGGAGGAAACTGACATCTGATTGAAATTTGTATTCCTTTCTAAGGACTGAATGTGTCACCCACTTATTGAGGTCTTATTTGATGCCTTTGTTAAAATAAAGTTGCATAACTTTCTCCAGAAAGAGCTATTACATCTTTTGTTAGACTTAATCTATTTGTTTTGGTTTTTATTATCATGTAAAAGTATATTTTAAAATTGTATGTCTAATTGATTTTGTATCCAGCTAAACTATCATATTGTACTAATTGACCACGTGTTCTTAATAATAAATCATATCAACAGCAAATACTAATAGTTCTATTTCCTCCTTGCAGTCTATTCCTAGACAGCACAGCATAGAGGTTAAAGCACAGACGCAGAAACACTGACTGGATTTCAATCCTGATTCTGTGGGTCACAGAGTGTGCAGCCTTAGGCAAGCTAACAACTCACTCTTCTGCTCCTCATTTCCTCATCTGAGACGTGAAGATGACAACAGCGCTGCCTCCCAAGGTTGTGGGAAAGCCTTAATGAATTGATGGATGTGAAACTCCACCACAGAGCCTGGCCAAAGTAAGCTCCTCTCATGGAGGCAAAGAAGATCCCAGAGTGATCCCAGTGGGCAGCAATGAGGACAAGCAGCTGAGCCTCATTCTTGACCTCAATGTACCAGGAAGGATAATGCTCATCTTATCATTAGAGGTCTATGATTGCATTAGAATTTCCACAAGATAAACATATTTTTTCTTTCTCTAATTCATTAACAAGGTAGATTATAATTCATTGATTTTCATATACCAAGACAACTCTGAATTCCTAAAACAAACTTTTGGTCATGATTTCTTTGTTGGATACTTGGAGTGAGGAAGAACGTGGCAGAGGGAGGGTGAAACACTGGGTGTCAAAAGTGGATGGAGTGGGGGGCAGGAGGCTGAGGCAGCTGGGGTATTGGGTGCATGGAAAATGGTGGCCACAGCTAAAGAAGATAGGGAAGAGGAGGGCGGGGGAGTGATCCCGGAAAGGTGGGTGGATGGAGCTGAGGGGTTATATAGATGGAGACTGGGTGTATGGGACAGAGAAATGGATGTAGAAACTTGTGCTGGGTAGGGAGGAGGGCTGGATGGATATAAGAATGTACGCTGGATGAGTGGGACAGGCAGATAGCTGAATTTATGAATACGATGCTTCTTGATGTACAGTGGGGCTACAGTCCAATAAATCCATCATAAGTTTAAAGTGTCGTAATTGAACGTTTCATACGCATTTTCGTATGATGCGTTTTTCACAAGCCCGGTAAACTGAGGAGCGTACTGAGTGCCTATGGGTTTCCTGCCATTGTGAAGTTGAAAAATCATATGTCAAACCATCATAAGGTGGGGACCGTCTGCACATGCTGGATGGGGGAACAGGACTATAGACGAACATATGAATGTATGTCCAAATGGACAGATGGATACGCAAATGTATGCCACGTGGGTGGGGCAGCTGGGTAAGTGGGTAAGTGAATGGCTGCTGGATGGGAGGTGATGTGTGGATATGTGAGAGCATGTTCAGTGGGCAGGATGGGCAAATAGATGAATACACGAGAATGTGTTCTCATGTGTTCATGGTGGCTTGGACCAGGGCAGTGGCAGTGAAGGTGGAGAGACCCGGCCAACTTCTGGACATGTGTTGAAGGTGGAGCTGACAGCGTTTGCTGGGATCAGGTTTGCAGTGTGATAAAAAGAATGGAGGCCGGGCTCGGTGGCTCACGCCTGTAATCCCAGCACTTTGGGAGGCCGAGGCGGGTGGATCATGAGGTCAGGCGTTCAAGACCAGCCTGGCCAAGATGGTGAAACCTGTCTCTACTAAAAATACAAAAAAAATTTGCCGGACACGGTGGCAGGCGCCTGTAATCCCAGCTGCTCAGGAGGCTGAGGCAGGAAAATTGCTTGAACTTGGAGGGCGGAGGTTGCAGTGAGCTGAGATCATGTCACTGCACTCCAGCCTGGGTGACAGAGTGAGACTCCATCTCAAAAAAAAAAAAAAAAAAAAAAGACTGGAACTTCAAGTGATTTCAATGAATGGACAGGTGGTTACAGGAATACAGGAACAGATGCCAGACTGGAGGGGCAGGTGCACAGATGGGTTTCTGAATGCCCGCTGGATGGCTGGAGCAGGTCCATGGCTGGATATAGTAATGGACACTGGATGGCTGGGATGGATCCATGAGCTGAATGGGTGGAACAGGTAGATAAATGAATTTATGATATGTTTTGAATGGGTAAGACTGGTGGATAATAGGAAGGAGGGTTGTTGATAAATATAGCATAGACCACTGGATGGTAGATGGGTACACAGATTCATTAATCAATCAATCAATCAATCATCAATCAATATTTACTTAGTGCTTGCTCTGAGTAGTTGCTATTCTAGGTCCTGCTTATATTACAAGGAATAAAACAGAGTCTCTGTCCTCATGTAGCTTACATTGTAGGGAGAAGATACAGAAAATAAACACAATAAATAAGTAAAACATGTAATGTGCTCAGTGTGCTAAAAAGAAACCCGAAGAGGCTCAAGGGAACAGAGAGTGCTGTAGGAGGTGCGAGTCTAGCTCGGTGGCCAGAAAAGACCTTGTGGGAGATATTTGAGGAAAGACCAGAATAATGTGACAGACTCGGCCATGTGTTCATCCACAGGGAGGCACGTCCTGGGCACATAGAGCTCTATGTGCAGGGCCCGGTGCCTCTGAGGACTAGGTGCAAAGTAGGGGCAGCAGATCACAGAGAGAAGGGGAGGACATGCGGTCAGAGGAGATCATCCAGGAGCACGGTGCAGGCTCTGAGGGTGCTTTTTAGTCATTTAGAGCCAGAAAGATGAACGTGATATGACATATGTGAACCAGGCAGTGCTGGCCGCTGTGCTAAGAACAGACGGTGGGGGCCGGGTGCAATGGTTCACGCCTGTAATTCCAGCACTTTAGGAGGCCAAGACAGGCGGATCACGAAGTCAGGAGTTCGAGACCAGCCTGACCAACATGATGAAACCCCGTCTCTACTAAAAATACAAACATTAGCCTGGTGTGGTAGGGTGTACCTGTAATCCCAGCTACTCGGGAGGCTGAGGCAGGAGAATCGCTTGAACACAGGAGGTGGAGGTTGCAGTGAGCTGATGTCACGCCATTGCACTCCAGCCTGGGCAACAGAGCAAGACTCC